TTCCGGCTTCCTTTTATATTTATTTTCGTCATTTCTTTTTTAGGCTTCGAAGTACCAAATGTACAAAACCTTCCTCCAAAAGTTTTCTACTATATGAGTTTCAATTTGAATATGTATTTATTTGTAAAATATTCTTCTAATTTTATATCTAATTTTTTAACTATGTAGGTACAATATATACCTATGTATATGAGCGTGTATATTAATGTACATATGTGTGTGTATATATGTACTTTATTTTTATTGCATACTTCAAATACCAATGCATGGGGCTTTTATAATTATTTACGTTTACTGTGTGACTTAAATGCAGCTAACGCATTTTATCAGTTGCTGATTGTATGGATTAGTATTTGTTGTACGCATGTTTTGTATCTTGTATATTTTCATGCAATATAGGGTGGTTTTTAATTGTATAATTTAATACATGTGTATGTGTGTATTTTATATGTTTGTATGTATTTTAGTATACAAGTACACTGTAATTTATGGATTTTTTTCTATAGTTAGTGATTTTTACAATTTTGTGAGCAAAATTTTATATTACAATTTTATTGCTTATCATTGCAGTTAACATTCAGTGGACTGTATTTTTTTATTCAATTTATGGTATACATACAATACTTGTATGTATGTATATTTGTGTACTAATTTTTATAAACGAAGAGAGAGCATAAACATATTTTTCTTGTTACATACATTTTATATTAAAAGTAATAAATTCATTTCGTGACAACAATTTTCGACTCCCTCAATATTTAATTTATTTTGAATAACATAAAATAAATATTTAAAAAAATTTAATGCACATATGTACAGCAAGTACATGAGTAAATCAGTGTGTCGGATATGATATACTCCCGAACATTGTCGAAATTTTTAATCATACAATATGAGTATGATTCATTTTCGGATATTGCCTGCAAAATCGAACGTTCATAAGCAAATCGTGTATAAGTTGATCGCTGGTGATTTAAACTTGTTCTCTGTCGCTGATTTGAAGACCAACTGACGACAGGAATCAAACTGACAGAATTAGCCAGAGTAACGGATCAGCAGCTCGAGTATGAATAAAAATTGATTACTCGTTGCAGTTCTCTGACGCACATACAAAAATGTATCGTTCACTTGTATGTGTATATTTCTGCTCTGTTTTTTTTTCAAAATCTATCTTTGGACCAATAGGTAACATTTTTTAATTCCAAAAGTAAGATTGAAAAACCAACATCCTTTCAAAAGGAACAGAAAAACGATACTCTATATACTTAGAAAGGTGAAACATTTGTTGAGGTCGTGGAGAAAGAACTCAAAACTGGACGAGGCAAGCTGCAATTTGGAAACAGTGAAAATAAAATTCAGGACCGTGGGTGTTTCAAAAATAAAGACTCGATACACTACACCATCACTAGGAATATACTTTTTGAGTAAAATAAATTTTTTTAAATAATTTTTTTCCTCCTCAGTCATTTGTGTTTTACTGCGTACAAATGTGGTGATGATAATATTATATTTAAAACCTCTTTAACAACCATAGTTATCGTTGTCTGCACCAGTCTAAAGTTAAAATCATTTAAACTGCAATCTTGATATTACCGGCAGCAAGGAAACCGCGAGTTGTCGTTTCGTGAAATGTTTCTTCATTGTACTTGTATTTAGTAAACCACAAAATGCTTCCTTATTTAAACGAAAATAACTTATGCATCTGCAACAAACATTATTAAAAAGCTATTTAACTGTTAATAAAACTTTCGCTTACTTGGTTTTAGAAAGATCCAATTGCTTTTTCGTATGTATATTTCGAAATCAAAACTAATGCCCATTTTAATAACTATTCAACTTTTCGTGAGCAATAACTGATTTGAATTGTTTTGATTTTTCGTTAGAAAAATTTCGGCTGTTTAATTATTTCAAATATTCATTTCTTAGGTTGGCAACACCTATGACACTTCCACTGAAAATCGTTGAAGTTCATAATACCAAAAAAAGAGTTTGGTTGATCTGAATTTGAACTGCTTTAATTTCAATTAAACTAAGTGGAGTTGAAAACAGTAATACGGGTATTTATCAACGTTAGTCGACTTACAAAAAATTAGTCATTTTACTACGAACGGCATTGATTCAATCCTACTAAAGATAACGTTTTTAAATTACAATGAACGTCAATCCATTTTCCATTTGAGCAATGCTGCATAATAATTTAAACAGTGTTTCCGTAAAATGTAAATCCA